AGAAGCTAAGAATGCCTACTGCTGTTGTTTTTATTCAACACAGTACTTAAATTTTAGCTACAGCAGGAAGACAAATAACTAAGTAAATAAGGTATCCAGATGGAAGAAGAAGATGTCAAATTATCCCTATTTGCAAATGATATATGATCCTATACTTAGAAGGCCCTAAAGATCTACCAACAACTTTCTAGACCTGACAAACAGGTTTAGCAAAGTAACAGTATAAAAAAAATCAACACAAAACTCAGTAGCTTTTTCTATACCAATAATGATTCTGCTGAGAAAGCAATTAGGAAAATAATCTCATTCATAAAGGTCTAAAAAAGTCCTGGGGATAAACCTAACCAAAGAGGTGAGAGGCTGTTACAGTGAAAACTATACAACACTGAACAAAGAACCTGAAGAAGACCCCCAAAGATGTGCGGTTTTGCATTCAATGCAATGGCGGCCCCGCAAGCCACTGCTGTCTTAACCGACAGTTGCAGCTCCCCAGCTACCAGCAGCTGTTAGCAGCACTGGCCCAGCCAGGCCGAGTCCAGGTCCCTCAGGCACCAGCCCTATCACGGCCACTAAAGGAAACTTCATCGAATCTCTGTCCTTCTATAGAACTCGGGATTCAAAGGTTGAGGTGGGATTCTGCTAGTCCAGAGAGGCTGGATAGCAAGGAGCTCATGTCTCCTGGGAAAAAAAGGGGGGTTGTCCTTTTCTGTTCAGCCCCCACTAAAGAACCCTCGAATTTAGTTCCTCCCTACTACTTCCTGTGAGCTAGTTGCTGATGCAGCCTCCTGACCCAGGTTAATTTTATTTAATCAAACAAATGTAACACATCTTTGAATTGTTAACAAAAGCAGCAGAAACAAATGTAACACGCCTTTACACAGTTAAAATAGTATTCCACAACAAAGACAGAAAGAACTCCTGTGCTAATGAGTAAGCAGAATAAATACATTTAAGATGTAGGCTAAGTGGGGGGGGGGGCAGAGGCAGGCAGATCTCTGTGAGTTCGAGGCCAGCCTGGTCTCCAAAGCGAGTGTTCCAGGAAAGGCACAAAGCTACACAGAGAAACCCTGTCTCAGAAAACAAAAACAAAAACAAAGATGTCTATGTTACCAAAAGCCATCTACTGATTCAGTGTGTGTGATCCCTATCAAAATCCCAGTGGCTTTTTCACAGAACTAATTGAACACACAGATACACCCTGAGCAGCCGTAGCAATCCTAATCAAACAGAGCGATGCTGGAGACGTCACAGTACCTTACTTCAAGTCATACTGCAGAGCTACGGTAACTAAAACCTCATGGGATTGTCACAAAACCGGAAACAGACTACAGGAATAGAGAACCCCCCAAACACACCCATGCAGCTGCACCCAACTGATTTTCAACACAAATACCAAAAACATATGTTGGAGAAACTAGCGCTAGCCACTTTAACAAATTGTGCTGGGAAAGCTGGACGGTGGCATGTAGACCACTAGAGTAGATTCCTGCCTGTCACCCAGATGAAAATCAAAACAAGGTGATTCAAGACCTTAGTGTGAAATGGGAAACAGGGGGACCCATCAAGCTACAGGGACACACCATGACATTCTAAACGTCATTCACGGGACTCCAAGGGTCCAGACAATAATAGCAAGACATGATGATGGGAGTGTATACCATTAAAAAAGTTTCTACACATCACAGGAAACAACTAACAGAGTGAAGGGACATACAGAATGGGAGGAAATCTTCACCAGCGACTCAACTAGTAGAGGACTAATATTCAGGATATACAAAGAATCCAAAAAACCAATCCCCGGAACAATAGACAAACTGATGTGATACTTTCCAAAAGAAATAGCAAACAGCGGTAAATACATGAAGAAGTGTTTGACATCTTTAGTCTGGAAATGCAAATCAAAACTACACTGAAAGTGCATCTCATCCCAGTCAACATGGTACCATGAAGAGAACAAGATGTGCTCATGAAATTCATAGAAAGAAGTCCTTACACAGTGCTGGTGGGGATATACATTAGTGCAACCACTATGGCAATCGGAATGGAGGTTCCTTAAAGCATGAATAAATAAAACTACTATATAGTGCAATTACACTGTAAGTCCTGGGGCGTACCCAAAGGAGTCAAAGCTAGCTTACAATAGAAATACCTGCATGTCTGTGTTGATTTTCACACTGCCTACAACAGCCAGGATGTGGAATAGCCTAGCTGTCCATCAACAGATGACTGGATGAAGAAAGTGTGGTGAATAAACACAGCAGAGCAGTGGTTCTTAACCTGTGGGTCTGGACCCTTCAGTTCAAACAATCCTTTCACAGGGGTGGCCTAAAACCACCGGGAAACACAGATATTTGCATTATGATTTATAACAGTACCAAAATTACAGTTATGAAGTGGCAAAGAAAATAATTTTATGGGTGGAGGTTATAAACAAAATGAACCAGACTGAGAAAGAAAATGTCCTGCTTCTCCCTCTTGTGCAGAATGTAAATTTTAAGGAAAGTAGAAGCTGAAGTGTTAGGAAAGGGGGTGGGAGGAGGGAGAGAAGGGAAGGGAGATGGTGGTCGATGCATGGATGTGATTGCAAGTGTGAAAATTGAAACCCATTGTCTTGTATAATTAATATACAACAATAAAACACTTTTTAAAGAAAGAATTACATGGATTTTCCCCCAAACATTGCAAATTTGCTGACTGTCTGGGATGACAATTGGCTGCCAGCAGGAATCTGTTGGACAATGACCTGATATTTGCAGACTAATAAAGACAGACCCTCTGTTTTAGCCAAAAGTGTGTGGAAAGTAAACACATTTCTAAGAAAATACGTGCCTCATGGAGGAAAAAGCATTCTGAAAGGCAGGTGTTTGGGAATGTGTGCCTGCCTTCTTGTGGCAAAGCCAGAAATTCATTAACTTTAAAAGTTTCATATTTTCATTTATTTAAACGGGGAAATAAAATTTTCTGATGTATTTTTTTCCCAAAAGAAAACTATCAGTGCTTTTTGAACGGGTTGTCTGAAACATTAAAGCACATGATTTTCCTTAGCAGAGAATGATGAATTTAGCATGAAATGAGAGCAATGACTCACCAAGTTTCTGCGGGGAAAAAAAACCCGAGTGAATTCTGCGTAAGTACGCACAGCATGAAACCTGTCACCCAGCGCAACTTGGTGGCTCCTCTGTCTGTCACCATCCAAAATGTTTTGAAGTGAAAAGCATGTTCTTTTGGTCTGTACTACAGTACTATAATTCAGTGCTTCCAAACACAACAGTAACTGACCCAGGACACTGTTCAAATAGCCTACACTACAAAGAAAGGAAGAAAGAATCCAAAGTCGGAAGGAAAAGGAAAACAGAGATAAAAGAGAGGACAGTGAGTGGACAACAAAAGTGACATGGCCCTGACCTTCACCCCACCCCCAACGCTGTGCATTCTTGAGCAAGGGCAGGTCACCGCCTCATGCCATTTGCCACTCTGACTTCTCAGTCTGTGTTCTAAGTATGCTAGAAAAGAGCATGTCAGGGACGCACTTGAAGAGGCTAATGAGCTCCTCATGTATCCTGAAACTAGTTCCAGCATCATAAAAATTTTAATGATTTTTTTTTTCCCACACAGGGTCCTACTATATAGCTCAGGCTGGTCTTGTACTTGTCATATAGGCTGAGTCAACCTCAAATTCTCAGTCCTCCTGCCCCAGGCTCTCCAGTGTTGAAATTAGAGGTATGCACCACCATGCCTTGCAGCGGAGAATGCTGTTTTGGTTTTCTGTTTGTTTTTAGTACTGGGATCAAACCTGGGGCCTCCTACATGCTAAACAAGAACTCTACCACTGGGCTATGTCCTCAGCATGCGCCTCCATCCTTTCAGGGATCATTCAGATGTGCGACCTGTGAGACCAACTTGGAACCGTTGGGCGACAAGTGACAAACTAAATGTGTCACAGTTACATTTGTAGACATGTCTAATGAGCCACAATAACAAATAATTAAAGCAAAAACAATTGGCATCTGTTGGAGAAAATTAAAAGTATCTTCATCATCATTATCTTCTATTCCCCTTTTTGCATATTTACACTATATATATACATATATACAATGCTCACATGCATTAATTTATACACAAATTCGCATCTACCACATGGCTCGTTCAACTACCTATCATTTATGGTGATACCAGTCAAGACTGCCCAACACACTAACCCAGACACTCTAAGCTCCAGAATTACTCCCTCTTCAGGCCACACTTCCTCTCCTCAGCAGCACTCCAGGAGCAAAGATTTGGACTTAGGGCTGGATTCAAGCACTCACACCCACCCTAGGGTAAAATGCTGTTTCTTAGCTTCCTCCTTTGAGCACCTTCCAGCCCAAGATGAGGCCTGGGTGGAGGGCCTGGCACATCACCAGATGCGATTAAGCCGCACCGACCGCAGGCACACTCATCTCCACCAGGTGCTTGCCAGAGTGTGGCGTCTGCTTCTGCCCACTGAAGGTCTCCTTGGCCCCTGGGACTGCGGGTTGGCGCATCAGATGAAATGAATCTTTGCCGACAGTGAAGTAGTACTACGGATATAACCTGAAATGCTACCCAAGTCTCCTAGGCATAAGGGTGCAAAACCTGAAAGTTTGGCAGACAGCCGCCTCTGAAGCCCAGGTCAGTCCCGGGCTGGCCGGGCGCCATCTGGGTGATGGACATTTGCTACGAAGCCTCGAGCTTCCTCCTCTACAAGCTGGAACCTGACCACAGCTTTCACTCACTCTGGCTTTGCCCACCCCACCTAGGATGGCATGCGGCCAGGGCGGCGCTCCCACTGGCTTGTACCAAGAGCACTGCGCCCAGGTCATCCCCAGCCAGTCTGGCCTTGGGACAGCCCGGTCCCCTGCACTTGTGGTCATTCGCTCCAGTGAGGAAAAGAAGACCCATCCTTTGGCCACGGTGACAGGCCCATGTAGAAAGCCAGTCACAACTCTCGACCCAATCGTCTCTACCGGTGGGGACCGTACCTGGATGGTGTGGCCGCTGCCCTGTGCGGTGGGGCCGCCCACTAGTTTGCAGTAAAGCTCGGGCCGGGGCCTTGCGACCTCCGGACCCCGCTCTCCGCAGGTAGCGGTGGCCCAGATCCTTGCCGCCTGGGCCAGGTTGAAGTAAGGCGGGTGCAGGCTGAGCGCGGCCGCCCGAGGGTCCTGAGCCACCATGCTCCAGCAAGGCGACATCAGCAGCAGCAGCAGCAATAGCGTGAGCAGCGGCGGTGAGGATCGCGGTGCCCACCCTGGAGCCACCGCCATCCCGTGGCGCTGGGTCTCCTGCCTGTGCGTGGCGTGGCACCGAGGAGCAGGCGGCTGCCACTCCCCGCGCTCCTGGGCAGCCCCGGGAAGTGGGCGGCGCCCCGGGCCGCGCCCCTAGGTCCACGCGCTGAGCCCGCCTAGGTTGCGGAACCTACAGCTACTTCTGGCACCAGAGCCATCAAGAACCAGCAGGAGTGGACTCTGTGGGCTGCAACCCCCCTCCCCCGCCTCCCCAAAGCCCGGAGCACCAGCGAGGGTCCTCCGACTGTCCTAACAGCCTGGTCAGAGAATCAAAGCGGTCTTCTTTCCAAATATCCAGGGTCTCCAGCTTCTGGGAGGCTTGCAGGAAACCGCCTCTGCCTGAAGAACTTTGTCAAAGACGTTCCGCGTTCCCAGGCGAGGGATTAAAGGCTCTCCCCGAATTAGCAGTGGTGGAAAACACACATCTAAACCACAAACCAGTGGTGCACGCTGTGGTTAGCCGACCTGGAAAGGTCCCTCGGGGAATCCTTTAGATGTCCAGGTGCTACTCCCTCACGGCTGAAGCTTGGTCACCCTCCAACAAGGAGTCCACAATAGGCCCTCTAAGCTAATAGAGGAGGTGCCATTGCTGTGGAAACCAGCATGCTAAGGGCTTTGAGAGTCCCAGACAAACAGGACTAAAGCTTTGAAGACTAGGGACGGGGGGAAAGAGGCAAGATGTGAAAACACTGCTCCGCCAGGATACAGAGTTGGGGACACAATGGCACAGGAGAGGTGCTGTGGTCTGAATATCCGTGCCCCTCCCCCACAAATTCCTAGGCTGAAACCCTGCAGTTCCGCTTGTACAGGTTTATATCCAGGAACACTCAAGTAAATACATCGTGGGATTGGTACTGGTGAACGGGATCAGTGTCCTTACAAATGAGCCTCAAGCTAGACATGGTGGCCCACACCTGCAATCCAACACTAAGGAAGGCTGAGGCAGGTGGATCGAGTGTTGAAAGTCAGCCTGAGCAACATAGCAAAACCCCATCACAAAACAAACAAACAAACGAATGAAAAATAAGAGACCAGAGTGTGCAGGCCAGCACTTGCAGTGTGCTGCATGAGAGCACAGTAAAAAGATTGTTGTGTAGAAACCAGGACGCAATCCCAACCACCACAAGACGTCTGTTCGTGACGTCACGGTCTAGGGCGACTTTGTAAAGCTTTTACTCTGCTGTAAAAGCTCGAGTGGACTGAGATGAAGGATTGAGCCAGTGGTATATTTATAAACTGCTGGGGTAGTTATGCGACCTACTCAATCTTCTGTTTGTTCTTCGTGAACATGGAGGGAACAGAATTCATGAGCCTACCTATAGAAAGGAGAAGCCGTGAGAACGGACTGAAAACGTCAGTCAGCACCGTAATCAACAAGAAGTGGAAAGCAAGGGCAAGAGAAACTGTTCATACGTGGTGTCTGCCTAATCCTTTAGTAATGCAGCTTCTACAAAACAAACACAGAAAGGCTGGACACCAGGGCTACGAGAGCAAACAGGCAACTTACATAAAAACAAAATTTAAAGCAGATAAGCATCGCTGGTTTAGAATTTTGATCTTCCTGGGAATAAGATGCAAACAAGATACCAACCGATAAGCCTCATCTTTCACTTATCAAACTGATAAAATGAATTAACTATAAAACCGAGGATGGAAGAGAATTCACGAAATCAGCACACTCTTGGTAAAAGTGCAGAACCTTCCATTTAGGGGAGGAATTTGCAGTTTAGCCAGAGACTCAATGTATAGCTTGTCCTGCAGCTCTCCTTGTAGAGATTTATAGCCCTGAAATAATCAGGGATGTTTATCAAGATTTGATCCAATGTTTCCCTGAAGCTGTTTAGTTTGTTCGTTTTAAGTTTATAAGACCCTAAATATTATTGCAAGGCTATACAAACAACCTTAAAGAAATATATCTTGACATGTTTGCAATCTTTAACAAAAAGGAAATGATATAAAAATGCACAATTTATCAATTCTATCTCTAGCACTAGTAAAATGAAATTAAGAAAAACAAGTCCATTTATAACAGCATCAAAAAGAATAAAATTCTTAGGAATAAAGTAAACTAAAAAGTTCAACCTTGTCCTGTAAAAACTGAACATCTTTCAAAGATGTTTCAAAAGAACTTGATACAGATGTACCTTGACTTACAATGAAGCAAAATCCTATAAGCTCATCATAAAGTGACAATATCATAAGTCAAAAGATGAATTTCGGACACCTAACCTACTGACGACGTAGCTTAGCCACATGGGGGGAGTTTTGTGTTTTCACCTTCTGGGGTGTGTGGGGAACCTGGGGCTCTCTACTGCTGCTGCTGCCCGCCATCAAAAAACTTTACAAGTCATCAGCACACGAAAAGATTTAATTCAAGGCATGAAGTAAAGTTTGTAATGTCTTCATACAGTCAATAAACGGTGGGGGGGGGCAGGTGTTCTAGTCCACTTTGTTTGTTTGTTTGTTTTTTTGAGACAGGGTTTCTCTGTGTAGTTTTGGTGCCTGTCCTGGAACTCACTCTGTAGACCAAGCTGGCCTTGTACTCACAGAGATCCACCTACCTCTGCCTCTCAAGTGCTAGGGTTAAAGGTGTGAGCTATTGCCCAGCTTCTAGTCCACTTTCTGTTGCTGGGATAAACACCGTGACCAAAAGCAACTTGGAGGGGAAAGGGTTTATTTCATCTGACAGCTCACAACCCATCAGGTGAAGCAAGCCAGGAACCCCAAATCAGGAACTAAAGAGAGACCCTGGGGGACACTTCTTACAGGCTCACCTCCAGCGACCCTTTGGTACATTCACAACCACCTTCTAGGGATGATCCTAACCACAGTGTGCTGAGCCCACCTACACCAATTAGCAAGAAAATGCCCCCCCATAGGCCAATATGCTTGAGGTAGTTCTTCAGTTGAGGGTCTCTCTTCCAAGGTGTGTCTGGGTGATGATCAAAATAAGCATCACAATACATCATTGATGCAGGGAATATCTGTAAATGTAAAGTGTTATATTTATGGGTTGGTGTATAAAATGTTAAAATGACAATAGTCCACACAGCCATCTACAGAGTGAATGCAATATCTATCAAAATGTCAGGTTTCTTTGATTTTTTTTGTTTTTGTTTTTCTTGCCTTTTTTCAGAAACTGACATGAATCCTAAAATCTTTATGAAAATGCAGGCAGCCCAGAATAGTCACAATGATGCTGAAAAACAACAAAGTACAGGATTCACTTCTTGACTCAAGAATTTAAGACAAAGTAACAGTGACCGAGACAGTGTGGTGCTGTCTGGAGGATAAACACACAGATCAATTAACTATAATCGAGTCCATAAATAAACCTTTAAGTCCTGATCACTTGACTTTCAACAGGATACCAAGACCCTTCCCTGAGAAAAGAGTCCTGTATATAAAAGGTTCTTGCTTAATTGGATGTCCACATGCAAAAAGAGCCAAGGTGATTCCTACCTCATACCATGTACAACTCAAATGATGTAAAAGCCCCAACTATGAAACTCTGAAAGAAAATAAAATGAAAAGTTTCTTAGATATATCAAAAGTGCAAAACAAATAAACTGTATTAGATTTAAAAACCTCTGCATTCACAGGGCACCTCTACCCAAAGAGTGGTAAAAGACATTTCAGAATCACCTGTCTCACAATGCACTCATTTCCAGAATAAAGAACTCTTACCACTCAAACATTTCTAAAAAGCTGTAGGTTTTGTTTGTGTGTGTGTGTGTGTGTGTGTGTGTGTGTGTGTGTGTGTGTGTGTGTGTGTGTTTCCGAGACATGGTTTCTCTGTGTAGTCCTGCCTGTCCTGGAACTCACTCTGTAGACCATGCTGGCCTCAAACTCAGAAATCCACCTGCCTCTGCCTTCCGAGTGTTAGGATTAAAGGCGTGTGTCATCACTGCCCTGCATATTACATTCACTTATGCTGTGGAATATTTGTTTAATAATGCAAAGATGTGTTACATTCTTTTATTTGGACTTGTTTAACTCTGTAAAGCTGTGTAAACAGCTGATTGATCTAATAAAGAGTGAACGGCCAATAGCTAGACAGGAGAGGCATGGTGGGGCTGCCAGGCAGGGAATAAATAGAAGCATGAGAAGGAAGAGAGAAAAAAGGAGAGAGGACATTCAGGGAGAGACCCTGTCTCGGTAAATTAAATAAAGGGTGATAAAGGGAGACACCCAAAGATAACCTATGGTTTCCACATGCACACACAAAAGAAAACACACACACACACACACACACACACACACACACACACACACACACGCCACACAACAGAACAAAATGCCTTGTCAGGCTGGAGATGTAGATCAGTTGGTAGATGTTTGCCTGGGTTCCTCCCCAGCACTGCACAGAATGGGGTGTGGTGGCGCATGCCTGTAAAACGAATACTCAGGAGGTGGAGCAGGAGATCAGAGGTTCAAGGTCATCTTCAGATACACAGCAAATTCAAACCAGCCTGGGAAATGAAAGAGCCTGTCTCAAATGAAAAACTTGTGTTGTTAAAGTGTCGTGTTTTCCAGGGATGGCAGCTTTAAAAACAACCAGATAAAGGCTATGCATCTAGAGGTAGGGCCTGTTACTAAGGCCGTCTCTCTAAAGGTGATGTATTACAAACAACATCTGCCTTCTACAAGCCTAGACACTGGAGGTGTTGGCATGAGTCATGAAAACGAGGCTTTGCAGGGGAAAGGCTGTTTTCAAGTTCCAGTGAGTGAGTTTAAGTTAATTCTAAGCAGGTGCTTCTGAAGACCCAGGCAGCAAACATGGCCACCCTCCTGTCTGAGGCCAGATGAAGCTGCTGTGTTTTAACCCAGAGAGAGGATACTTCAAGAAATTAAATGACTTGCCAACGAGTGTGTTTGTGGCAGGAGATTGCTCGTAGGGCCATTCCACTGTGCCGAGAAAGCCACCTTGAGCCAAAGGACAGAGCCATTAGCTGTAGGGTTGTTGGAGGATGAAGGAGGTCAGCTGGAGAGGGACAGGAAGAGAGA